TTGTAGATTTTTTTATTACATTTTTAGTAATTACAACTTATATTTTGGTGTATAATCTATTTGTTTACACAATTACACCAAAAAATAATTTTTTTAGTAATGTTGGTCATACTGTATTCGTGAGTATGATAATCAAAAAAGTAACTATCAGTCAACGGTTATTATCTATCATCATATTGTAGTTTAAAAAGTATTGTACATTAAATTTTTAATTTTGTATTATCATTTTACTTTTTACTTAAAGCTATAGCCAAATTTTATGCCTTTGACTTATTAACTTACAATCTACGCATATTTTTTTTGATAACACTAAATTTTGTAAAATTCAATTTAAGATTAAAATAGATTGACCTGTGATCATTCTTACAAGTAAGCTCATTGTGTTGTATTTAGTTGTCATTTGGATAAGATATTTAAAACTTTGAAGCAACAATATTATGATTGTAGAAAATAAATGTTTTCAAATAAAAGATTTTGCTTTTATATTAAAATATTGTGAAACGACTATTGTCAGATGACTGCATTTTATTATATATGAGATTATTGTATGATCCGCTTTTACGTTTAGATTTACAATGACAAATGGACATGAATAACTACAATTTGAGTATCCAGCAACAGTTTGAGCTGTTATCTGCCGCATTAAATGTAAAGTTCTAAACTAATGTGTTTATATGGTTCACATTCAACATTATTTTCATTTTCAGGCCTTTCATTTGTTTCATTGCAGAAAAGTAAGATGTTGAATGTTGATCGACTAGCACAGCCAATGTTTTTATTACATACAAATATTATCTTCTTTTCTTAAATTTTTAAATATTGTACTATTACTTATTACTTTTATTGGTTTTATATATTTTTTATTTTTTTTTTCATTTTAGGATGGTCAATATTTTACATTCAAATGAACCTGCGTTTAACAATTGAATTAAAAATATGGATCAAGAATACTTTATAGTTGACTAAATGATTATATAAGTAAAGTGAATTACACATTTTTCTGATCTGAAAGTTTTGTATAAATATTGGACGATATTTGTAAAATTAAATATACTTAAATTTCTATTAAGATAATATATAATTATTTATAAAACATTAAATTTTCTTTTGATATTAATAAAACTTATATTAATAGCTTCATTTACATAGTTTAAGTATAAGTTGTTTATAATATGTCAATAATGTTCAATTGAAAAATGTTTTAATATATTAAATAATTTTATATACAATAAATACCATTTACATATAAAACTAAAAAATAAATAAATACTTAAAAGACATTCAATTTCCTTTTGATCCTAATGAAACTTATATCAGTAGTTTTATCTACATAATTTAAGTACAAATTGTTCGTTACGTTTATTTTAAAGTTTTTCAAAATCAAAAAACCATTTTATCATGGTAGAAATTCTATTCACATATTAATTATTCAACTTCAACAATTAAGAGTCAATTAATACATTTACAGAAAATGTTTCTCCATGAAAACTTTACGAATATTGGAACTATTAATAGAAACAATACTAATTCACAATTATAATTATCAAATCATAATTTATAATATTGTAGTATGTATGTTTATATTTATTTATTAAATCTTATACAGTTATATTTTATATACATGTATAATAACAATAATCTTTGAAAAAAATCTAATTGCTAATGGGAATAAAAAAGTTGAGAACAAGAAATATTTTTAAATGATACTGGATTATTATTATCTAAATCTTTTAGCTTATCTTTTAAATTCTAAACATCTGTTTTAAGATTTTGTATACATTATTGTGTGCCAATATCAGATCCAGGTTCAAAGTGTTATTTAAATGAAAATTACAACTCTTAAGAACAATAATGTGTTTATTGTGTATAAATAAAATTTATCAAAAAGACATTTGGTTAATATTACATCTGCATGGGGGTTATGAGCATGGGTTATTTTATGATCTATATTACAAGCTAGTTCATAACTTTCTGTATATTCAAACAGTTTAAGAAAAACATATCCGTATCTTCATTCCAAACACAAAGGCTGTTTTTTGTTCCTCCGATTAATATAATCTAATATGGTTTTTCTATTTAAATTATTGATAGTTGAACAACTACTATCATTTATTTATGACAAACAAATTGCTGCTTTGGTGGATGGCCAATCAAAAAACTTCTTTATATTCTTAACCGCCCAATCTTGTTTATACTTGGTAATAAGACGAACCTCATCGTTAGTTATCAACAAGGGCCACCCTTCTGATTTAACCATTTTGCTCTGATTTAGATTTTCAGTAATTTCCCCGCAGATTAAAACGTGATTGTTTTTTTTTCTTAATATAGTGAATTCAAAGTCTAAAATAATAAAATTGTATGATTTGTTTCTAAACAATAAAAAAAAAAAAAAAAAAAAATTAACAACTTAAAGTTAAAAGTTATATTCTTATTAACCTATTTATATTACGATATTATATTCCAATAATTATTCATTTACTTTATCATTATAATATTTTATTTTATTATTAATTAATTTAAGTTATTCTTTATTTACTTCTTCATCTATTGTAACAATTTCCAAGACTATCCATCTCATCAATGATATTTCCAATTAGTTCATTTATATAATGAGCATCCATTTTATTCTGAAATTAGAGATTTTTTTAATTATAAAACTGTGGGATTATCACTGGAAAAAAAAAATTTTTACTTTAAAAATTAAAAATTATTAAATTACTAAATAATTTATAAAAAAGATTGGATTAAAATAAAAACTTGATGCTGACTAAGTAGAACTATATAACTAAGAACTATTTGAATTAAACATTTAATTATAAATCTGAAAATACTAACATATTACATAAATATATATTTAAAATAAAATATATGATAAATACATTTTTTTCAAAAAAATTTTAAATTTATATTTGTTAGGAGGGAACGTTAATTATATTAAAATTAAATAGACTTATAGAAAAAATAAATAATAACTTCTTTAGTTTGTTTTAATATTCTCTATTTTAGCTATGGTGTATTAATAATCAATTATAATAAAACATTTAAAATTATTAGAAAAAAATATTAAATTATATTTTAATCTTAGAATATGATACACAATCATAGCTTAAACTAAATAGAAATCACTTACATTACTAGTCAATTATGAAAAGAACATTTAAAAGTCATGATGATTAAAAAATAGTATTATATGCAACCGTATGAGTTATTAAATTTTCGGTTATTGGTATATGGATATTTAATTATTATTATTTTAAGTTTATTAGCATAAATTCATCATAAATAAAGTTTAATTTGGTATGATTATTTATTTATATATATTTATCAAGGTATATAAGAATAAAAAACAATAAATAGTAATAAGAACTTACATTTTTATTGGTATAGATGTTTTGAAAATTTTTAGATTCTACTATAGATTGCTAGTTTACTTGTGTTCACTTGAGTTCACGATGAAACTGAAAAAAAAAATATATTGATGGGAAAATATTTCCTAGTTATATAGCACCAAATTTCCATCTCTGTGACTGTCAATGTGATCAACACTTCATGGAGACTTTATTATTCGGAAATATGTATTTTAAAATATATTTGGTAATAATAAGTTAAAATCATTGTTGCTCAGTTATTCAATGTATCGTCTAGCAGACTATTTTTTTTTTCATTCAATGATTCAATATTATTTTAAAAGAAAATAGAATGCATACCTAAGGATATCTGTAAAATGTGTGTACACATCGTAAATGATAATATAATATTGTGTGTGTTTATCGACTGCCTAATCAGTGTGTATTTTTGATTAATAATTAGTTACTAAAATGAGGTAATTTTCAATACTTTTCAAGTAAATTCAGTTTAATGTATACCTATTAGGATTCTAATGAAGATGAATTTAGTATTTAAGCTAGATATGATATGTGTCAAACTTCATATATATATGCTTGTTCGTGTTCACTAAAATAGTAAAATCTATATATCGTGTTAATTGAGAGAATTGAGTGATTATCGGTCATCACAGCCAATAAATTAATGTTAAAAACAAGATTTTTGTTAGATTTCATTTTAAGTAATATTTTTTAAAACTACTTAGTGTAATGTTATAATTTTATATTCAATTTAGAATAGTTGACTTTACACATGGGAATGCGGAATATCCATTTATTACCTATATTTTGGTGGCACAAATATGGTCTTGATTAATGTTTGGTTAGCCATTGGATAAATTATGTTCGATAAACTACACATTCATAGTTATTTTAAACTAGTTTTATAAGTAATAAGCTATTTTTCTATAGTAAAGTTATTATTTATTTGTACAAAGTTTTGCATTAAATTACTTTAGAACGTTGAATATTTATTTTATACTATAAGTTCAATTTGTTCATTTCAGAATTATTTTAATCAATAACCCATTTTATTATACAAGATAAACCACTCATATCTAAATTAACAAAATTTAACATTGAATTACACACTCAATATCCGTTGTGAAAATGTCAAGTATTTACGCCCATTAGTTTTTGAATTACCGAAAAAAAATAAAACTTAAACTTATTTTGCGTAAATATTCTCTTTTTTTTTCTTAATTTTTTGTGTTTCTCTCGGTTATTTTGTAAAGTATTGAAAAATGTTTATTTTTTTTTAACTCTTGAAAGTACAAACTTGATAGTATTTTCTATCCGAAATCACCCCAAGTTAAAAATCAAAACACTTTTTTAACTTTACGTTTTGCCCATACATTTACAAAAAACACATAATTGTAAAAACGATATCTACATTTATTGCTTTACTCAATATAATATGTTTTATGCAGCTCTGAATAATTGCATTCAGCATTGTGTCAGACAATTTTATAGCTATGCTTCTGAATTATTCTGATTTCTGAAAGATATTTTAATCCATGATCGTTGTATTGAAAAATAAAATTTATAATAACTGATAATACCTAACAATTAAATACTATAAAAAAAAAAAAAACTATTTCAAATAAGTCCGGAAAAATGTACGGTGACACCGTATCCGGTTACTCCGGTTACGCGCAGGTGTGTCACGTGATCTGTCGGTGGCGAGCGCTGTTGTCGACGATGAAGTTGTATACACTATATAGCGTAGCGTAGCCGTAATGTCGTATTTAGTTTTTGTCACCACTCACCACTCTCTACTACGCCTACCTACAACTTGTCATCAACACTACTCAGTTTATACACCGTTTTCGGCGTTTTTTTTTTTTTATTAAAAAACTTAATTTTCTTATTTGTTTTTCAATTTCATTTTATCATCATGAGTGACAGCGATGAAGTTTCGAAGCCACCACCAGTAAAAAAAAATAAAACTGGAAAAGTGAGTATTTTTTAATTAATTAAATAATTTTTTCAAATTGCGTGTGGTATTATACTACATTAATGCCTCCAAATATTTATGTTTTTTCTTCAAATTTTTAGTATCTAAATATATTATTATAATGAAATATTCTGATTTCAGATTATTGACGAAAAACGCAGACTTTCAATTATAGATTTATATAAAACATATCTACCAAAACACCCGGGTTTGCCATTATATAAACTGGTGAAAAAGATAGCGGATTCCATGGGCATTGGTAAAACGACGGTTGGAAATGTTATAAAAGAGTATAACGAGTCGAAGACGGTGACTATTCCAAAGAGAAAACGGGCCAAAAAATCGTTTTTAGACACCTTTGACGATTTTGACAAGAACGCAGTTCGAGGGCACGTTCATAAAATTTGGTTTACTCGTCAAATTCCAACTGTTGACAAGATACATCAATCCGTTTCCGCCGATATTAATTTACCACCAATATCTCGTACTAATTTATTTCGTCTGTTAAAAGCATTAGATTTCCGTTATACTAAGCGGAGTCGGAATAGTGCTCTTACAGAAAAAAATGAATTAGTCGAGTGGCGCAGACGTTATTTACGAGACATTGAGCGATATCGTAAGGAAGGTCGGCATATTTATTACCTTGATGAGACGTGGGTAAATGTTAACGAGCGTTCATCCAAAACACGAGTCAACACAACAATCAAATCGGATAGCAAAGAGCTCTCTACAAGTACTGCTAATCCTTCAGGCAAAACGCTGATTGTTCTCGACATCGGTTCGGAAAAGGGTTTTGTTCCCGATGCCTTATTATGCTTCGAGTCAAAAAATAATACAAGCGATTACCACGACGAAATTAATGAGAAAATATTTCGTAAATGGATGGAAGGCGTTTTACCGCGATTAAAATCAAATTCTGTTGTCGTCATGGATAATGCGTCATACCATTGCGAGAAAGTCGATAATGCCCCTTCATCAGATACCCCGAAAGCTGATATAATTAAGTGGTTAACCGACAAGGGAGTAGTTATAGATAAGCCTATAGTTATCCCTGAACTACTACAAATTGTAAAACGTATAAAGCCACAACACGAAAAGTATGTCATCGATGAACTAGCAAAGTCCCATAACCATACCATCTTAAGGTTGCCGCCGTACCACTGCGAACTCAACCCGATAAAACTGGCTTGGTCGTCGGTTAAAAAGCACGTTCGAACGAAAAATATCAACTGCAAACTTCCAATTGTCAAAAAATTAATAAAACAAGGTGTGAATCGTGTAAACTCGACCATGTGGAAAAATTTTATACAACAAACGAAAGACGAAGAAAAAAAACTTTATGACATCGACTTCATCATTGACGAGGTATTGACCGCGGAAACGTCAGAAACGGTGCTGACCATTACGGGAGACACGACTTCAAATTCTGATTCGGATTCGGATTAAGTTCCTAAATAATGTACAATTATAACTTGATTTTTGTAAAAATAAAATTACCTATATTATTGTTTGTAATAAAAATATTTTTAGTTTTCATGAATATGACTTTATTATTATTTGTTTTTAAAAAGTACCCAAATCTTTTGTAATACCTATCTATGTATAATGCGTATAATAATAAATGAGTATGTACTATCATTGATTATAGAATAAAATGTTGTTAATAAAATATTGTTTATTCTATAATCAATGGTACTATGTATAATAAAAGTACTTATACAGAACCTTTTAAAAATGTTAAAAAAGAATGGTGTTTGCAGTATGCTACGACTTGTATAATGTATAGGTATAATAGAATAGAATACATGTGAGCCAAAAGCGGACAATAACAAATAATATATTATTATTATTAGTTTATTATTTAATCCCCAGCAGCTGCTGGAACCATTGTTACCTATTTTAACCGTCCGTATACACGACGAGTGCCGATAACTGTGGCCAATGACAGCGGATTTACCAGTTGCCTGCATGATTTATTTGGAATGGACTAAATCACGAAACGTTTTTGTTTATTCGTTGTGTTGTCTGTCTAATTGTCTACTCAACTACTCAAGTATCCGAATGGGAATAAAATTATCATTTTTTTTTTTTTTACACGATTATCTAAACGCTGATCAGCTATTGAAAAATATCTACTTTTAGGTCTCAGTGGATCTTGCCGGTTTGTTATCTTGTGATATAGTATATCCTATCAGCAATATATAAATTTATATATTTTATATTATAGACTGCACAAGTAGTTAAGTATTTTAAAATAAATCATTTTTACACTAATTGTAGTTTAACATTTTAATGGTTGTTCATTGTATTATATAACATTCACATATCATTGATCAACCAACAATCAAAATGTTTCAGTAAAAAAAAAGTTTGTACATTAATAATGTTTCTATGAAACGACTACTGACTCCTAAGGAGATTCGAAGAGCATTCATTCAATAATTATTTAAGAATTAAAATCTGATCTGTTGCTGCGGGCGGCATACATGCGCTGTTGGTATGACAATTTTATTTCTAAATTCCTTCAGATGAAACATATTTTCAAACAGCCTCATAATGATAGTTTGATTGAAAAAAAAAATGATTAAATGAATGGAAACTCTACAGTAAAGCAGAATATAATATAAATAAAACTACATAATATAGTCAACAATATTATCTTCAAAATAAACCTTTTATTAATGCTCATATTAACTTTGAACCAAATATAACAGAAGTTAAAAAAATTGATAAATATGCCTTTAATATAATTTAATCATTAATTAATACATATAATATGACAGCCGACAGGTATCTACTACTAGTACTACTGTAATTTCATTCTTAATATTAAAATAATATCATATCATCCAAAAAATCAATTTTAAACATTAAAAAAAATATAATTATAAATTAAAGTAAATAACTAACCATTATTTGCAATATATATTATTTTCTGAACTGTGTGTATTAATATAATATAATAAAAAACAATTTAATTTGAAACTTTGTATGTGATTAATTATCTACTTTTCTATTTTTCACTATTTTCAACTTTGCGATTTCTTTTCCAAATTATTTATACTCCTTATATATTTACCATTAATTACTTTGTTGATATTATCAAAAAATATGAAACATAAATACACAATGCTGTAAAATGTTTTTTGAATTATTATTTTCTTCAATATTTATTTGATTACTAGAAAAAGATAATTTGATAAATGTACTATTAAAATGTTAAAAATTCACTGAAAAACTTGATATAAATTTTAGTAACTTAATTTTTATATACTTTACATTTTTTTTATTCATTTTAAATCATTTGTGGTGCAAGTGTACAAACTAAGCACAAAAATATTGAAAAAATATAAATGATTTATATTTATTTAATAAGGTATGCTGTTTATGAAACATGCAGATGTTAGTATAGTTTATTAGTTTGGCATTTAATTTTTTTTTTTTACATAAATATTTTATATTTTATTTTAATTAAAATAAAGTACCAATTATTATACATAAAAAATTAAGAAAATTTAAACTATTTTTATAGATGAAAATTATAGAATTTATTTATAAGTTGATTTTTTTCTTATTGTATTTTTTCCAATTCAAAATTAAGTATAACAAAAAAATATATCCTTAATGTTCAGAAAATTATTTAAAAATATGATTTTATTTATATTTGTATACATAATTATACTTCTAATTAATAATTTATATTAATATTATTGTGATAGTATTTCATTTTTTGCTGTAAGTTAATAAATCATCACTTATATTTTAATCATTTATCAACCAATACTAGATTTTTACAGAAATAAACAACAATTTTTAATAAAACATTTCCAATAAGTTATTTAATATTAAAATTAATAATGTTAACATTCATCATTGGACCAAATTCAGAATACATATTATATAAATAAAAATAATAAGCAAATAGGTATGTATTATTTTATTGAAAAATAATAATTGCTTATTAGCTATACCATATTCATATTGATAACACCTTTTATAAACATAGGTATATAAAAATGTCGGAAAATAGAAAACCAAATTCAGATTTTTGTTGTTGTTCTAATACATATCATACTGAATGGCCGTGCTAAATAATGTGTTGATCGTTCGCCATCCCTCGCCAGCGGTCGGCCATTTTATGTAACGTACAAAAATAATTGTGATGCGACGACTACGGGTCGTCATCGGTGCTGAACGTGTTAATCTATTTCAACAGGAAAGGAAAATTATGTCAATTTCCTCCTAAACGTACACACACGCGACCTTCTGTAAAGGTTCCTCCAAAACAGGATACAAAAAAATTTAAGGATTTATAGATTTTACGTCGATTCGTCTTAACGTAGTACATCCTTTTAAAATCATTATACATAGATATGTATAATATTATATGGGTTTCCAACGTACAGTGTACACTGGATCTAGTATATCTTTACGCCCTAATCAGTGCTCCAATTTGCAATTCGATAAATTTGAAAAATATTCGTTTCAGTGGTCCCGTATAAATTGTTATTATGGTAGCACAACAGTGGATCTAATTTTCAATAGATCCTAATTCCCAAACAAATTTAATACATTTTTTGGTAATAATCGGTACGAGTTCGAAATATAGATTTATGCGTAAGCCTTATACGTTTAGTAGACAGACAGTAGAAGCGTAGACCGAGAATCGTCTTATGAAATAATATTTATACGTGCATTATCCCTCACAGCCCGAAAACCAAAATAATTGTTCTACGATATTATTATCTATACAGTACACATTCGATTTTTATTTCGAACAATTATCTCGTCAGCTTGTTAGTTATTATCAAGTATGCCGAACAGCTGTTATTAGTATTATAATTGTCATTTGTCACCAATCACACGCATTATACGATTGTGCATATCACTTGGATGTGACAATTTTAAATTTCTGTGTGTGTGTATGTACATTTGACGCAAATACATTTCGATGCATTTGTTTTTTTTTTTACATAATTTTTAACAATGTAAAGAAAATTTCAATCACATCACGTTTACATGATACTATATATTGGTGTTTAGTCACGAGCCTCCTGCGACTAGAGCGGGGTCGGCCTTCGTGACTACACCACCGAAGTTATATGACTATACAATCTATCGATCTGGTAAAAAAAAAGAGACTACCTTAAAGAGAAGGATAACGGTATCACAGACGTGTTTATATTATGTTTACAGCTAAAAATGTACAAATCGTAGTTATAATAGTAATAATAATAATAATAACAATAATCAGGGTTAATCAATAATTATCTTAATGAATAAAAGGTCCGCCGACAGCTAGGTATAAACAGGAATAGATTACAACTATTTTGTGGTACAAGTGTGTCGTAGAGATAAATGTAATATTTACGCAACTCCAGTTCCCGCTGATTTTTCGTAGTATACAACGGTGGCGGTATGACGGCGACAGTAGGACCCCATCGATCACAGCGGTGTTTGCGCGCGCGTCGGCACAACAGTGTACAAACGATTTGGTATTACAATAGTAAATATTTGACTAGCCTCGAAAAACCGTTACCATGGAGATCGCGACGACATCGCGAGACAAAATATTATAGTTTATTGCTATGACCAGGGCTCAGGGCTTTATGCATTTGCATATATTTTGTTCGGGAAATAGAAGAAGTCGGATTCGATACATATTTGTGTTTTGATGCAAGGATTTCAAATTCAAATTTTTTTTTGCATATTTTAGGTTTTTTTTCTTCACACGCATATTGCAAAGATTTATCCGTTTTTATTGCATATTCTATACATTTATACATATTTTATTTTTTTTTGATTTACAAGAAAAATGAAAAATATCAATGTAAAATTTTCTTTTTTAACGCGTTATAAAAATGTAGTACTGTACAAATATACCTGCATTGTTCATTCTAAATTAATTTTATATAATGATTTCTTCTGCAATAATCAATAGCGCGACTCCACATTTCACGTTTAATATTTTTGAATTCAATTAGTACAGGTATGTTTTTTTTTTTTTTTTTTAATTAAAAATAAACACATATTTAAGCGCATATTTTTATGATCGTAAGTGCATAAAGTGTTAAAATCCCTAGCCTGATTATGATCATTGTTTTTAGAATAAAATATATTGAAATATTTTGTTTTATTATATTTTTTGATACTCTAAAATCAATGGTTACGACGACGATGGCGTGGTACAATGTAATTATTACCAATCGGTCTGTTGATAGAATTACGAGAGCATGCGAAACAGGCGTGAGAAAATACAAAAAAAAAAAGACTCACCGGAAAACATTGGATCCGTGACGAAATCGCGATCTGACAAAGGTCCCACGAGTTACTGGTCTGTCTAAATCATTTTTGGCTCATGGTATAGACGGATAAATTGCACCAAAGATGACCATACCAGACCCCATACCAGACGAAGAAGGGGCACGGATAAGTCCTGTATATAA